GCAACGTTTTTAGTAAAGGCATCTTCTGGGGAAAGTGTGAGCCTGTCAGTGAACAGACAAAGTCCATTTGAAATCTGAAAAATTGGCATTTCTGTTCATCACAGATGTTGCCAGACACATGTTATGCGCACCCCTTATTATGTTTCTCTATGCAGGGTCAGGTCTGCGGCCTGTGTGGGAACTACGATGGCAACGGCATTAATGACTTTACCACCAGGAGCCAGTCTGTGGTAGGAGATGTGCTGGAGTTTGGAAACAGCTGGAAGGTGTCTCCTACTTGCCCAGATGCCAAAAGCAACAAGGATCCTTGCACTGCAAACCCTTACAGGAACTCCTGGGCCCAGAAGCAGTGCAGCATAATCAACAGCAAAGTGTTCTCTGCCTGTCACTCTCAGGTATATCAAAATCCTTGGGTGGAATCTTTCTATGCAGGGATGATGCTATACACAGAATACCTTAGTAATGCACACTGCAATGCCACTCCGTACTCTAACCATACAAATACCAGTTTTCTATGTGTTTTATATTCACTTGATTGTGGAAGAAGCATCCTGGGCTTGATCCAGTTCCACACTAAAGTCAATAGCAATCTTTCCATATATTTCAAAGGGAGGTGGATCAGATGCTGTAAGATCAACGTGAAGTCACAGCTTATTCCAGGAGGACTATGTAGACATTTCACTGAAGGTGCGCCTACACTGCACTGTTATTTCGAGATAACTAGTGCTATTTCAAAATAACGATATGAGTGTCTACACAGCCACTCCATTTCAAAATAAGGGACGGCTTATTCTGCAATCTGTAAACCTCATTCTATGAGGAATCACTCCTATTCCGAAATAGCTATTTCAATATAAGGTGCGTGTAGACTCTTCACTGCTCCTATTTTGAAATAGCCCCTCACCAGGGCCATTCCTCCCCAGTGCCTCCTGGGGCTCTAAATTGAGATAGCATGTCTACATTAGGGAAGCCTGCCTTGGACTAATTTTGAGACTTTGTAGATATGCTATTCTGGAATAAGTATTCTGGAATAGCTTATTTTGAAATAAGCATGCAGTGTAGATATAGCCCGAGATTCATTTTCTATTTTGACCCAAGTTAGCTGGTGCACCAAAAGAGCAAGTGACATTTAAACAGTTATCAGGTGACCCTTTTAAATGGGACATTTACAGGCTTTGTAATTCTGTTCCGCACGATTAGCTTCTGATAATACGTTTAATTGATAACAGAACAATTGTTGCGACAGAATGTCTAATCTAATTGTATTATTTTTTCCAGAGTTCCCATTTCCTTTATGGTTACTAATGCTATGCATGTCCTATATTTGATATCCTAATTTGACTTTGTAATAACAGTATTTATCTAATTTCCCCCACCTTACAAATCATCATTTATTCTGCCTGTAGTCCCATTGCTATAGTGGATGATGTTAAAAGAGGAAAAGAATAAAAACTTGTCCATTTCAAATACTTGACTGAAATTGTAGTGAGAGAGGAGAATTACCATTGCAAAGCAGAATGACAAGCACATGGAACAAAAAGGAAAGTGTCATCTATTCATTTTCTCACAGGTTGAACCACATGAATATTATGACGCTTGTGTGACTGATGCTTGTGCCTGTGACACCGGGGGAGATTGTGAATGTTTCTGCACAGCAGTAGCCGCGTATGCTCAGGCATGTAACGAGGCTGGAATTTGTGTGGCATGGAGAACCCCATCTATCTGCCGTAAGTATTACACCCTAATTTAATGGAGGGAGAGGGAACAACAGAAATAAAGAATGAAAAGGAAAAAGGGCAGAAGAAGAAATGAAAAAAGGGTACAGTACAGGTTGTACCTCCCTAAACTGGGATTCACTGGTCTGGGACTCTTCTGTTGGACCACAGATGTTCCTGGAAAAGAGAGCCCAGAGTTAGGGAGGCCAGTGGTGGGCAGGGGGCTCAGGCAATATGGGGAGCACAGCGCTAGAGGGCTCAGGCTGCGTAGGGAATCACACAGTGTGGCCGGGAGCCCTGCGGCAGGGAACTCTGGAGACCTAAGGAGCCCCACAGCAGGGGGTCTGCCAGCATGCAAAGGACCGGTGGCTCAGCCAGGAGTCCTGTGGGAGGTACAGGGGGTCCCACAGCACAGGGGGCTCAGGCGGCACAGAGGTTTGTACAGAGCTGCTCCTTGTAGCAATGTGCTACTTAGGGAGAACTTAGAGTTCTACTGGTAGCACATCTACTGATAGCACATCGCTACAGGGAGCAGCTCACTACAAGCCACCAGCAGTGCAGCCAGGAGCATGGCAGGGAGCTCAAGTGGCGAGGGGAGTCCCACGGTGTGGAGGAAGCTCTGTGGCAGCAGACTCTGGCAGCAAAATGAGCCCCTGACAAGGGACTCAGCCAGCACAGGGAGCTCTAGTAGCACAGCCAGGAGCATGGCAGGGGCATAGGCAGCACAGGAAGCTCCAAGGTGTGGCTAGGAGCCCTGCAGCAGGGGGCTCAGGCAGCTGAACTGGAAGTCCCAGGACTGAGTGGTCCAGCCAGGGCTGGCAGAACAGCTGGCTGCGGGTAGAAGCAGAGCCGACGGGTGCCTGGAAGGCTGGCAAATTCCCTTGCTCCAGATTGGCAAGGTCCCAAGGGTGTCGAACCATGGAGGCCCAACCTGTGCTGTTCCTGAGATACACTACAACCAGGAAAATAGCCCAAAACACAGAGAAAATTACAGAACTATCTACAAAACTTCTTCCTTTTCTAATCTTTCCACACATTTCTAACTGTAGATATGAGTGAAATAAAACTGTGCTCTGATGATTGTCTTAGTTGTTAAATTACAGTATTATCTAGTTACTGACTTGTGATCTTAGTCAGAAACCACTGGCATCCTAGTAAGTTTTACATTCAGAAAGCATGAAATTAAATTAACTGGACCTCATATTTTCAGCTGCTAATATACATTAATATTTACTTACCCTGGACAGAAAATAACTAGGGGTATGTCTACACTACCCCGCTAGTTCGAACTAGCGGGGTAGTGTAGACATACCCCTAGTTATTTTCTGTCCAGGGTAAGTAAATATTAATGTATATTAGCAGCTGAAAATATGAGGTCCAGTTAATTTAATTTCATGCTTTCTGAATGGCTACGTCTACACTGGCATGATTTTCCGGAACTGCTTTTAACGGAAAAGTTTTCCGTTAAAAGCATTTTCGGAAAAGCGCGTCTAGGTTGGCAGGACGCTTTTCCGCAAAAGCCATTTTCGCGATCGGACCTTTTTTCCAGAAAACAAATCTCTGCTGTCTACACTGGCCCTTTTGCGCAAAAGTTTTTCGGAAAAAGACTTTTCCCTGAACAAGAGCAGCATAGTATTCCCGCAAAAGCACTGACAATCTTACATGAGATCGTCAGTGCTTTTGCGGAAATTCAAGCGGCCAGTGTAGACTGCTGGCAAGTTTTTCCGCAAAAGCGGCAGCTTTTCCGGAAAAAGTGGCAAGTCTAGACACAGCCTATGTGTTTTGTAGCTACTCTGTAGAATCTTTGTACTCAATACAACTGAAAAAGTAAAAACCCCTGTTCAGTTAAAAACAGGATAACTATTGTTCACTATTTGCAGAAGTATGCCAGTGTTACGGGATTTGTAGAAATCATAAAGATTGGCTATGAAACACTATAAAAATGAAACAATATAAAAATGTTGCTAAATGTATATTTCTACCCATTTTCTCCTCTTCCAGCTCTGTTCTGTGATTACTACAACCCAGAAGGGGAATGTGAGTGGCACTACAAGCCCTGTGGATCCCCATGTATGAAGACCTGCAGGAACCCAAGTGGAAAATGCCTTCATGAGTTACAAGGCTTGGAAGGTAAAATACATTTTGTATATCTCATTATGCTTTAAAATGGTAAATCAAAATTCCTGATTCTCAATATATTTAATATTTTCGTTAGAAAGGGCAAGCCAGATTAGTGATTATGGATTTTTTTGAAGTGTGAATAATTCTCTAATGAGGTCATGAACTTTTTGGGATTAAGATCCAAATTATTGCACTTAACCTCAGAGAAATGTATGCTATGGCAGCAACGTGCCTCATGTCACTAAGGATAAAATTCCCCCCTTCTACAAGAAAACAATGCAGAGCTTAGTTGCAGGAGCTAGCATCACATGCAATCTCAATGATCCTGGGTTGATATAACTCTCTTTTTTCCTGCAGGCTGCTATCCAAAGTGTCCAGAGAACAAGCCCTATTTTGATGAAGATGATATGGAGTGTGTAGATAACTGTGGCTGTTACGATGACAAGGGAAAATATTACAAGCCAGGAGCATCCATTCCTTCAGAAGAGAACTGTCACTCATGGTAAGAATAGCTGTACGCAGAGTTTAGGAGAATCCTAACCAAATGTATTGACCTTGTGACTACTGTGCATAAATTACTAACGACTACAAAACCCTATCTTACATCTGAGGCTGGGAAGGGAAAGGATCATGATCTGAAATTCTTTTCTTTGGAGAGATTTGCTCGAAGCATTTGTTACTGTATGATTGAACATTCTGTGTTAACCTAAAAATGGTACTTTCCCCCTTCTTTGCACTGCAAAATATTATTGAAATCATTATCTAAACTTGTTCTGTAGCTTAATTCAGTTAATTGTTGCTATTATCTTTACATGCACCTGTCCACTAGATTCCTTCAGGTTTGGAAGGGGCTGGAGGAGGTGTTGGTTTTGGTTTTGGGGTTTTTGTGGGGAGGGGTTGCAACTCATTTCTTCCTTACACAGCTATTTACCTAGGGGTATATTCTGATAACCTTCTCATGCTGAACAGCAGTTTTCTCCACAAAGTCAATTGGAGTACTTGTGGAGTACAGTTTTAGTCAATGTGAACAAAGATCCTAGAATCTGATCCTTAATTAATCAGTGAGAAATCCCCATCCTGTGCACAGCTTGAATAAACAGACCTTTTTCTCAGGAGGGTTCCATGGAGATCTGTGGAAACGGAATCCTCCTCACTAGCCTATAAAGCAGCTCCAGAGACTGGCAGTTATTTCAACCTCAGAGTGCCAGTAATTCCCTCACTACCAACCTTCCTGCATCTCCCGCCTCCACAGGAGAATGGGGAATGGTCAGGAGATACCCTCCTGCAGTTGCCAAAGCCTTCCTCAGTGGCATCATAGAAAGGATTCAGTGCAGGGTGTTGTTATGCACTCAGTGGGTCTTGCAAATCCCACACTGCCTTTGTGCACTGCCTGTATTGGTTTGAGAGCTTGGGGCTCTCCTATCACAGGAAGGATGGAAACATGGCTTAGAGAAAGACTGGGTCTTTTTTAACTTAACCTTAAACAAATCTTCTCTGGGAGCTTCATTTTGTTCCTGGCAATACAAATTGGACAGAAACAATTAAAACAGTAAAATGATGTGATTATCTTGTATGCATCTTCAGTTCCATCTTTCTTTTCTCTTTTTCCCTTCCAGCGAATGCACAATGGAAGGCACTAAGTGTGAATATGATGAAGATGGTATGTTGACAAAGCATCTTTTATCTGAACATGAAGTTTTGGGGAAAAAACAAAAATTTTGTATTTCAGAATATCTAATGATGACATTTTCTTTTTGATTTACAGAATGTTACTGCATCTATGATGGGAAGAAATATAATTACGAAGATGTCATTTACGACACTACAGATGGTATTGGCGGGTGTATCACTGCAACTTGTGGTCACAATGGAACGATTGATAGAAAAGTCTACCAATGTTCCACAACCACAACCACAACCACATTTGAATTTTCCACTTCAACACCGACATTCACCACTACAGGTATATGTTACATTAATACATGAGTTTGCTCTACTGTGACTTGCTATTGAGTGAAATTTCCCTACCAAACCAAGTACAGTAAAAGCTTTGTTATCTGGCACTCATGAGGAATGAGGGCCGCCGGTTAATTGAATGTGCTGAATACTCAAGCTTATTGCTCTGCCCCTTCCCCTAACCAGAGGAAACTACAGCAACCGACCCCTGTTCCCTTGGGAATGGCCTAGCAAGCTTTAACTTTCCCCCTGAGCCAGAGAGCCCAGAAGCCACCTGGAAGATCCAACTCCTGACAGCTTGAGGCAGGCTGATGGGGAAAGAGGTGCCTGATGATGATGGCAGTGCCAGCTGCTGACAGAAGTGCAATGCAGCAGCCAGAGGCATCAAACTCTCCAGCTGTACAGGCAGGAGTCGGGCACGTGTGCCTGAATATAAGCGGGTATAGTGGCTGGAGGCACTGCCGGTTAACCAAGTTTTTCCAGATATTCAAGTGCTGGATAACAAAGCTTTCATTGTAAATGTTCATAACTCTAACAAATGGATCAGAAACGTAGAACCTAATAAGACTTCTTTATTTATTTGCATTTTGTATATTTGCATTTAGTTTCTACCATAAGTAGAAAACAAACTGAAACATGAAAACACAGTAAATAAAAGCCACTGTGCATGTTCTTTTTGATACTATCTTTGCTCAAATTCCCACAGATTCATTAAAAAAAACAATGCCGCGTGTATTTTATAAACCATTGTGGCAACTGTTTCTAAACCATTTTTGTTAAACTGCTATATAGAAAATTTCTAGTTAGTAACTAAAAAAAAATCTACAGCCATAGAATCATTCTCTGTTTTTCACTTATTAAATTGCAGAATGACTAATTTCTCCTAAAATCTTTCTTGGTATTACAATATTTTGAAAACAAGGTTGGTAAATAGATTGCTCCTCAGACTGCAATACTGAGATACCATGCTTTTCACCTCTAGCTCTCTGGATGAAGCTGGCCTGAAAGTCATGACCAATGGCTTTTTGCAGGGCTAGTAATGGATTTTGCCCAGACCTCATCAGCAAAGGGAAGGTCTTTCCCTTCCTGGAAGGGGCCAGGCCTCAGGTGGAAAGGCAAGACTAGAAAAAGCAGCCCTCAGCACTGCCTCCGTTAGCCAATCCATAGCACCATGCAGGTCTCCAGTGGAGATTTAAAGGGTCCAGAGCGCCAAGTCCTTTTAAATTGTCAAGCACTGGGGTCACTGACACCTTTGCCCCCTCCTCCTTACTCCACATTGGCAGCCCTGGTGGTTTGGTATCATGTGTGAAATTAATCATTTGAGGAGTATGGACTACTCTCTTCTCCCACAAGAGGGCCCCTTTCATACAAACTTGAGGCACATTAGGGCAGGAGAGAGAAGCTTAGATCCCTGATTCAGTCATTCCTTAACTGTTTTATGAATAAATAGAGGAGTGCAGGCAATGTCACATATTCCTGAACAATAAATTTATATAGCAAATTAATTAGATGCATATTGAGCCTGCTCCAAAGCTTACTGAGCTCAGTTATCTCTTTCCATAGTTTCAGTGGGCTTTTGACTGGGGCCTTAATATTCATGAGAAAGTGCATAAAGATGCAACCAGGCTGCACAAAATGGAAAATTACACTCAAAGATGTTTTTCCCCCAAATGTGCAAATTATGCATGTGTAACATGCAACTATTTTTATAATTTTGATAATTATTCTTTATTCTAGCACATCACAAGAAATAATGGACTGAACCCTAAAAGTAATAAATCGAAGAATAGCAAGAAATTCATATGTTAGGTGTTGTTTTCTCTATTTGAATGGATAGCAATTACAATTCAACTAGCTTAATAAATATGTTTTGAGATCAATATACTAGCTCATGCCCTTATACCAGGGCCTAGACAAGAACCTCTTCCTATAGCTGATGGTTGATCATCACACTTAGTCTACTTAGTGTAACAGAAAAAATAATATTCATTAGAGCTTCTTAGTACACTTCACTGAAACTTGATGATTTAGTACTAAATTTTCCTTTTTTTTAAACCACAGTGGCACCAACTACATCCGTCTGCGTTCGTGAAGTATGTCAGTGGTCACAATGGTATGATGTGAGCTATCCTGGGTCTGGGATCGATGATGGAGACTTCGACACATTTGATAATTTAAAAGCCAAAGGGTATAAAGTTTGTAAAGTTCCAAAGGCTGTTGAATGTAGAGCTGAGGATTTCCCCGACACTCCATTAAATGAACTAGAGCAAAAAGTAGAATGCAGCACAACAATGGGGCTAATATGTTATAATAAAGATCAATATCCAGAGATCTGCCTGAATTTCCAGATCAGCGTCTTATGCTGTAGCTTTGTACCATGTGAATATACAACTCCTTCTACCACAAAGTCTTCTGAAACTACAACACCCATCACAAAACCTACCACTCCAGAAATTCCTGTGACAACTTTATCTGCAACAACTACAGCAAAACCTATCACCACAGAATCAAAACAAACTACTCTTGCAACAACTACCATGACATCCAAAACTGCTTCAACGACTCTAGTCACAGAAACAACTCCTGTGTCAACTTCAACTCTTAGAACCACAGCTTCATCAACAGCAACCACTGAAACAACTGCTAGCCCTTCAACAGAAACTGTATCAACGACAACAGCAATCACATCCATAACACCTTGTACACCAAAATGCAAGTGGTCTGAATGGTATGATGTCAATTTTCCCAGTCTGGACAATAAAGGAGACTCTGAAACATATGATGATATTAGAGCAGCAGGAAATGTGATCTGCAACAAACCTGAAAATATTGAATGTAGAGCAGAGAAATTTCCAGAAAAATCAATTAACAGCATTGGCCAAATTATCCAGTGCAATGTATCCTATGGATTTGTTTGCAGGAATGAAGATCAGGACGGAATGTTCCAAATGTGTTATAACTATCAAATAAAAGTATTCTGCTGTGATGATTTTAGTCATTGCCCTTCCACAACCACTACTATAGAAAGTACAAAAACTACAGGCCTAGCTATTGTTTCAACACAAACCTCCACCCTGACTCCTACAACTACAGAAACTATACCTTCATCAACAATAGAAACGACTCCACCAACTACCACAACAGAAAGTACAACAAAAGAAATTAAAACAACAACTCCTTTAACAACTACTACCAGAGAACCTACAACAGTTACAACTACACCTTTCAGTACAACAACCACAAAAACTACAATTCCAGGAAACATCACCATTTCAACAGAAGCATCCACCCTGACTTCAACAACTACAGAAGCTACAACTTCATCAACAGTAGAAATTTCGGCCACAACTGCAAGAGAAACCACAACCAAAGAAGTTAAAATAACTACTCCTTTAAAAACCACAACCACACAAACTACAACCACCACAGGCACAACAACAGAAACTTCTGCAACTGTGACAACTCCTTATGCTAGTACTATAAGTTCAACAACAGGAAGTATGTCCACTACATTAAGAACTGAAACTACAACTGCTGCAACTATTACACCAACTATAACACAAAAACCTACATCATCAATAATGATAACTACTACTCCAGGAATAACTACAACTTTAGAAACGACAACAGCCATGACAACTTGCACTAAAGAAGTATGTGAATGGTCACAGTGGTATGATGTAAGTTACCCTGGTTCTGGTATCAACGATGGAGATTTTGATACGTTTAAGAACATCAGAGCAAAAGGATACAAAGTATGCAAAGCTCCAAAGGCTGTTGAATGCAGAGCAGAAAGGTTCCCTGACACACCATTAAATGAGCTGGAGCAAAACGTAACATGTAGCAAAACAAAGGGATTGATATGTTATAACAAAGATCAAAGTCCACCAATCTGCTATAATTACGAGATCAAAATTCAGTGTTGCACGCATTTAATTATACCATGCTCAGAAACCACTTCACCCACTACAACTAGAGTAACAGTCACCCCAGAGACTACAAAAGAAACAACCACCCCACCCACGATAACAACTACATTAAAATCAAGCTCGACAGAAACCACAAAAAAAATAATTACACAACTGCAGACAACGACAAAACACCAGACGCAGCCTATCCAGAAATATTCTACTACACCCACAGAAAGTAAAACAAAAACAAGTACACTGAGGAGTACAATAATACCAGAAACAACTCCAGTCATGACAATATCACCAATCTCCACAACATCTCCAACCACCACAAAAACCACCATTCCAGGAACAAGCACAAGCACCATCACAACAGTTACCACTACTCTGCCTCCCATAAAATCTCCCACAATATCACCAGTCTCCACAACTCCAGAAACTGCCACTTCTTCCACTACACCATGTCAGCCGATATGCACATGGTCCGAATGGTTTGATGTCAATTTTCCCTCGCCCGGACCAAAACAAGGAGACTTTGAAACCTATGACAACATAAAAGCAGCAGGAGCAGCAATCTGCAGAAAGCCTGAAAATATTGAGTGTAGGGCAGAAAGCCACCCACATCTCAGCATCCATCAGATTGGTCAAGTTGTACAGTGCAATGTGAACTTCGGCCTGGTGTGTAAAAATGAGGACCAAACTGGGAAACACAAAATGTGCTTAAATTATCAGATACGGGTGTTGTGCTGTCGAGAAAACCCTAAGTGCCCAGTCGGAACCACAACTCCCACCACCACAATTACACGTGCACCAACAACCATCACAGAAACAACCACCGGAGTCACATCTACCACTACTACAACAACAGTTACCGAACCACCACAGACTACCACTTCTGAAACATCTCCAATCATTACCACCACAAGCCCAAGCACAACGACTCGTATTGTAAAAACCACAACATCACCCACCTCCACAATATCACCAACCACCTTAACAACCTCCACTCCAGGAACAAGCACAAGCAGAAGCACAACAGTTACCACTACTCTGCCTCCCAAAGAAACTCCCACAACATCACTAGTCTCCACAACTCCAGGAACAACCATTTCTTCTACTACACCATGTCAGCCGATATGCACATGGTCCGAATGGTTTGATGTCAATTTTCCCTCTCCTGGACCAAAGCATGGAGACTTTGAAACCTATGACAACATAAAAGCAGCAGGAGCAGCAATCTGCAGAAAGCCTGAAAATATTGAGTGTAGGGCTGAAAGCCACCCACATCTCAGCATCCACCAGATTGGTCAAGTTGTGCAGTGCAATGTGAACTACGGCCTGGTGTGTAAAAATGAGGACCAAACTGGGAAACACAAAATGTGCTTAAATTATCAGATACGTGTGTTGTGCTGTCGAGAAAACCCTAAGTGCCCAGTCGGAACCACAACTCCCACCACCACAATTACACGTACACCAACAACCGTCACAGAAACAACCACCGGAGTCACATCTACCACTACTACAACAACAGTTACCGAACCACCACAGACTACCACTTCTGAAACATCTCCAATCATTACCACCACAAGCCCAAGCACAACGACTCGTATTGTAAAAACCACAACATCACCCACCTCCACAATATCACCAACCACCTTAACAACCTCCACTCCAGGAACAAGCACAAGCAGAAGCACAACAGTTACCACTACTCTGCCTCCCAAAGAAACTCCCACAACATCACTAGTCTCCACAACTCCAGGAACAACCATTTCTTCTACTACACCATGTCAGCCGATATGCACATGGTCCGAATGGTTTGATGCAGATTTTCCCTCTCCCGGACCAAATCAAGGAGATTTTGAAACCTATGACAACATAAAAGCAGCAGGAGCAGCAATTTGCAGAAAGCCTGAAAATATTGAGTGTAGGGCAGAAAACCACCCACATCTCAGCATCAACCAGATCGATCAAGTTGTGCAGTGCAATGTGAACTTCGGCCTGGTGTGTAAAAATGAGGACCAAACTGG